TTTTCTTTCTTTTTTTTTTTTTTTTTTTTTTTTTTTTTTTTGGTCTTTTTAAGGCTTTATTTGAAAGAAGTGCATGTTGGAGTGCTTACATGTGAAATGATGTGAAAGCTGTGCTTTGCTCTTTTAAAATCTGCTTCCCTCACAGTTTACTTACTAACCCAACGGCTTCCCTCTCCTTTCTCCAGCAGATTAGTAGCAGCACATTGTCCCTAACCCAAAATCCAGGTCCAGTATCCAAAATTTGACAAGGGGACCCCCTGGGATTTGACTTACTGCTTACTTTTCCAGCACCTCTTCTTCACTTGCTCCCTTTCTTCCTCCATCTCTGTCTCTATTCCTAGTTCCTTTACCCCATTCTTCTTACCTAGAAGATGCTCCCATCTTCCCATTTTCTCTCTGTCTGGCTAAATTTTTGTATGTATATGGGATGCTAGGAATTGAACCCAGGGTCTGGCACATGCTAGGCAGGCACTCTACCACTGAGATACATCCTCAGCCCTTTTTTAGAATTTGAAATATGTTCTCACTAAGATGTCCAGGCTGGCCTTGAACTTACCATCCTGCTGCTCCAGCCTGGGATTACAGGCATGTGCCTTCCTGGCTAAATCCTAATAAGAAGGCTTCCCCAGGCAGGGCTTTGCTCTCACCATGTTCTCAGTGTTTTCACACTGGCCTGTGCTTTGCTCCTGGAATTTTAACCTTTGCATTGCACCTTCCCATTTACTTTTTCCTTTTGCTATCCTTCCCCATTTATCTGCCACTGGACTCTAAGCCCTATGAGGTCAAAGATGGTGTCCTTTCTCCCTCCCCTTTCCCCTCCAAGCTTTCCAACCAGAACAGCAGGTGAATAGGTGATCAGTAAGTGTTCACTGAAGAAGTAAACACATGAATTTGTGAATGCTCACAGGATACAGTTCCTGTGACCCAAAGGGAGAAAACATAATCGTCCTGCCAGTTCTAAGTATTTATTTAGTAATGGTAGAGAGTCTCATGAAGTTGAGTTGTGATGGACTGCAATTCTTTAGTGCAAGAAAAACTGCCTTGAAAACTACCAAGAAAATGGGCGGGGGGTAATTCTATGAAAGGTATAGACTAGAGAGATGAAAAGAAAAATGACCTTGTGTGCTTCATATTTATTTAGATTCAACAATCTAAATCCATTGATTCCCTGTGTGAGTGTGGTGTAAAGTACATTCAAACATAATGAACACTTGCAGTGTGTCTCTTTTGAGCATTAACTGTTGACTCTAAGCATTATTATCATTCAATTTTACAAAGAGAATCTGAAGCACAGAGAAGGTAGGTCTTCTTCTGTGTGACTGCACAAGGTCACACAGCTAGAAGTTGATTAGATTCAGAGTCAAGGCCCAAACTCCATAATCTTAATGTTGATCAAACTCCTCATCAGGCATCATATTAAAAGCAGGCAGTAGACTGTGCCGAGCACATGGGAGCTGAGTTATTAGCACTGTGGTGAATTGGTGCATGCCTCCACTTACCTCCTTTGCAAGTCAGGTGTCTGTGGGGTTCAGTTGAACAAACACAGAGTGATGGTATGAGCTGAGCACTGGGTTAGAAACTGAGGAACCAGATGAATAAGACATAATCTGCCCTAACGTGCTCATACTCGATGCAACTGCTTTTTGGAGCAGATCTTTGCATTTCACAGATCACAGTCACTTCCTACTTTGGGGGACTCACAGATAAGATTCTACTCCCAAGTATTTCTGAATGTCAGCCTTGAGTTTTCTGAAACCATGAATTTGAATAGCATTGTACTATATGGAAGTTCTATCTTTAAAATTAAAATATAATAATAATGAGTTTACATGAGAGAACGCAGACCAGGTACTGCAGTAAACACTGTACATATGTTATCTCATTGTTTCTCACAACCAGTCTACATATGTCTCTATTTTAACTTTATGCATGAGGAAACCAAGACTGAGGGTATTCAGTAACTTGTCCTGGAGTGCACAGATTGTAAGGGGCAGGACCCAACATAAGGATCTATGCTAAAGCACATAATTAAAGATTCACAGTACTCTCAAAAACCTGATTTAAAAAAAAGAACTTGCTTCTCTATAACAAATGAGCCATAAGCAAAAAGAAATATTTTAGTAAAACTCAACAGTATAAAATAAACTGTGGCTTTGAAATTTTTTTCAAGAAGAAGCCACATGTATGTACAAAGAATGTGGAGAGAATCTTTCCAGCCTATAGGGAAAGAAACACCACCAAAGGGTGCTGAACATGATGTCTGTCTGTAAACACTAAGGCTCTACTATGCTGAAGTGCTCTGTCTACCACATAATGTACCTGGTGGAGAAGAACACGAGTAAATGCAGCACTTGATGAATAGTGCTTTACGTGGATTTTCTTTCTTTAACCTTCAGATTACTATTAACCCACTATATAGATAAGAAACTTGAAACAGAGAGGTCAGGTTAGCTTTTAACACCACACAGACATGAAAAACTAGAAAGCTAGGGTAGTCTCCCTGCAGAGTCCACACACTTAACCATTAAGCCCAGTTGCCTTTCTAACACATCAGCTGTTGGTTAACTTGATAGAGACCCATTATAATAAACCATATACGTGGTACGCTCACAGTGTATTAGTCATAGTTTAAAATCATTCAGGGTATTTTTCAATGCTAACATCAATACCATATAACATAATTATATGTTCTGAACACTAGGAAGATAAGTCCTTTATATGTGATTTATTAGAAATGCCTCCACTTAAAAATAATTCTTTATCACTTTGCTCTAATCAGTTATTCCTACTACAAAATCACTATTACTTATTATCTATCCTTCCTCCAACCTGGATATAGTGTCCTTTCTGCTGGGGATTTCCTTTGCAAATTTCCCCCAGGTGTCTTTCACTCTTACTTTAGACCTCAGTGCAATTGCCACTTCCAGGAGAGCCTCCCAAGGTGTCCTCCAGTGGGAGCAAAAGCCTGGTTGGTCTTGTTCACCATTGCAGCCCTAGCACTAAGCATAGTGCCTGACGAGAGACAGATGTCAGTGAAGGCATTTGTTGAATTAAATACGCATGGAAGACTCTAGCCTTATATCTGAACCAAGAGAAAAGAAAATGCATTAAGTTTTCACTAGAGTTCTCAGCCTGCTAAGATCTAAAGTGGGGAGACTGAGGAATGAGGAACCCATTAACAGCCTGCAAGGTGCATGCCAGATCACTCAGACATGTCAGATGTTTTGTCTTGTTAATCCCTAGTGGATCCAGCAGATTGAAGGAGCAGAGGCTGCCCTACACCAGAAAATGATGGAATTGGAAAGTGACATGGTGAGTGCAAAGACAAAGTACCATGAAAATTAGCAAACATTTATAAGGCAAATGGAAAATGAAAGTTGCCTCTTTGGTTTGATCCAGCACTGATGGAAGTTTGTAATTTCCCTGTTTGCATACAAACTGTGGAATAAAATTTGAGAAGTATTCAACAATTTCAAGTTATATTCTCCAAAAAGAGCAGTTTACGTATTTTGGTGATATTTACAAAACTAAAGCTGCAGAAAATTGAATAAGGTGTTTTCTTTTTTGGGCTAATTTCTTTGCTGCATAGAATTATCAAGTAAAAATTATAGAAATGGTGACTGAAAGTCTGATGGCTTAAATTCCCAAGCCACCTCACATCTGTTTGGATGATTATTATTTAAAAAAAAATAGAAATCAACAAGTGTTGGAAAAAATTATGGAGAAATCAGATTCCTTATACACTATTGGGAAAGGTGCAGCCCCTCTGGAAAACAGTATGCTGATTACCCCAAAAAATTCAAAACAGAATTATCATACAATCCAGAAATATCACTTCTGGACACACACACACACACACACACACACACACACATGAATTAAAAGTAGGGTCTGGGAGATTTGTGCACTCATAGTCATGGTGACAATATTAACAATAGTCAAAAGGTGGAAGTTATCAAAATGTCCATTTATAGGTGACTGGATAACAAAATATGGCATATTTCTAATATAAGTTAGCCTTAAAAGGGAAGAAAATCTAACATAAGCTACAGTGTAGATGAACTTTGATGGCACTGTGTTCAATGAAATCAACTAGTCACAAAAAGACAAGTACTGTATAATCCCACTCATGTAAGTAACTAGAGTAGTCAAAAACATAGAAAGAATGAAATTCAAATTATTTTAGGTGCATGTACAAATATGTGACCATGAATCCTACTATTATGTCTAGTCATCATGCACCAATTAAAAAATAAGTAAAAATAACAAAATCACTATTTGATTTGTAAAGAGAGAGAGAGAGAGAGAGAGAGAGAGAGATTGTTGTTACCAAAGATTGAGAGGAAGAAAAAATAGAAAGGTATTTAATGAGACTAGTTTCAGTTTTGCAAGATAAAAAATGTTTGCACATTAGTTGCATAACAATATGAATATGCTTCTCAACACTGAACTGAACATTTAAAAATGGTTACAATGGTAAATTTTATGTGTAGTTCAGCATGATTTTAAAAATTAAATTCCCAAGTGTCAGAATTGGTTATTATTAACCTACAGCAATGTATAAAATTTTATGACAGAATTCATAAATATTCTCATTATCATTAAAAAAACATATAGTTTATTCCTATCAGAGAATAAAAACAACTTGTATTTTTATAGCATATAAATCATTACTTATGCTCTATGTAAAGTTACCAAAAGGAATAGACTCTATAGTCAAAACATATAACAAGAAATGTCCGTGTTCAAAATCACCCTTGAAAGCTCTTGAAATGCACAGTTACTAATGAAGCAATCAGCCTGTATCAGCTGGCTGTAGGCAGTGGAACCCAGGGGTGATAAGAATGTCAACAGCAAAATTGCTTCATGTTGTCTCTGCACCACTGAGGCTTCCCCAGGACAGGAAAAGGTCCTTATCCCTTCAATTAAGCACCCAAATAAATAATTGACTTTCACTTGTGACTATGCTGTACACAAAGATGCAGTTTTAAATCCTAATGGCCCAATGTCCAGGATATGAGAAGCCCACAGGAACTGGGAGCAAGGGAGGAAGCATCAATGCTGTCTCCAGCTCACAGCAGGTCTGAGACAAGGGCAGACACCTGCTCATCAAGGGGCAGCATATGCACAACTGCCCACCCCACCACAATGTTATTTGTGTCTGAGTTTGCTAATTGTACACAGACAAATTTCAGTAAGTTAAATTTGTTTATTATACAAATTTCACAATATTCTTAAGAACATATACTATCACGATATAGAGTTGGTCCCTTTGTGCTCATAGGACTCTGGTTCCAGGACCCCCTGCCAATACAAAATTCACAGATGGACAAGTCGCTTATATAAAATGGCACGGTATTTGCATATAGCTGGCACACATCATCTTATATCCTTGACCTCATGTCTAGATTATCTGTTATACCTAATACAATGTAAATGCTGCATATTAGTTTTTATACTGTATTTTTATAGGAAATAATAAGAGAAACAGTTTCTACGTGTACAGATTTACAATTTTTCGAGTAGTTTCACTCCGCATTTGGTTGAATCTGGATGCAGACCTGACCATATTTACACAAATGGACTTATTATTTAACACATAGCTTGTCAAAATGTGTGCTTAATCACATTGTCTCCAATAAAAATCTTGGAGCATTCCAGGTGGATTTTTCATTATGTCTTTTATACCTCAGTCTATTGATTTTCATATTCCCTGTGTGAGACTGTGAACATCAAACTCTTTCCCTAACAAAAGTCTCTGATTCTACAAATACTAGTGATTTGTCGTTTCATTGGAATCCGTGAAAACATTAATCAGTGTGATTTATATACCACTTTCTATTTAACTAAGCTGACTCTTTTTCTTTATCAATGTGGCCCTTATTATAGGAACAATTCTGCAAAATAAAAGGCTATCTGGAAGAAGAACTAGACTACAGAAAACAAGCTCTCGACCAAGCATATATGGTAAGTACACCAAGCAATGGAGCCACCCAGAGAATTTACAATTGTACGCTATGGAGTCAGGGATTCTACTTAATTGGTCATGCTGTGTATTTGAGCAGACCACAATGTACAGGCCATATACTTACTGGTTTCTGGTTCTAATTTTAGAACAAGAACATCCTCACTCTTTTCTTTTATAGTGTTCTTAAAATATTAGATAAGTATACTTTATTTTTTAAAAATTAAATTTAGGCTGTTAAATAACATTGAGACACATTGGATGGCAGTTTAGATGAAAAAGAAATTTTATTTAAGCAACCTAGACATTTGGGAGTCTAATCTAGTGGTAGAGTAATAATGTTTTTAATGTTTGTAATGCAGATTTTTAATTAATTTATTTCTTATAATTACCTTGTAAGAAATGGATATCACTATTGCTATGTTACATAGAAGGAAAGTCTTGAGAGTAAAACAGAACTTTCCTAGGCCAGTCAGTGGGTATTGTATAGGTCTGGCTTTAGATTCTGTGGTCTTAGCTCTGGTCTTAGCTACCCTAATCCAGGCACAGCAATAAGGCTATGTCGGTAAGTGGACTCTGCCTTTTCCTCCCCCACAGATATGCTGATAGAGACTCATGTTTGATTTCTTCTCCATCAATTCATATTGCAGGATTGCTAATATTGGACTCCAACTCCTATTTCCTTTCTCCTCGTGCCCTGCCCCCATTAATTCATAGTAATAAATCAAAAGAAAAATAACAAACCAGAGGAATATTTCAAGAAGCTGCTAACAGAGGTTTTTATAATGCTTTCCTGGAAGCAGACTGAGTCACTTTGGGGGAAGAGTGATACACTTAGCCCCTTATTATAACAAAGATGAATTAGTCTTCCCTCTCCAAAATGAATAAGAGACTCTGGCATTGTTTGAAAGGAAAAGAAGAGAATGACAATTGGTTACTACTTAGAGAACAAAGAAGCAAATGATTTTTCCCCTCCCTTCCTACCCTTTCACCCTTGTCTCTTTTTACCTATACATACTAAAATTGAGCTGGGTATGTATGTGATTCCCAAAAGTATTGAGTCCTCATTTAGAAAACCATATTTAACTTTTCAAAGACAGATATGCTTAGTCAAGGCTAAGAGCTAGGAAAATATCCCCATCACGACATGCTCAGTTACTCCTGTCAAAAATCACAGGAGACACAATTATAGATTTTGGGCAACTGTATTTGAAGAGTATAAAAATACAAGTACAAACCCTGAGCCGTAAGAGACAGTAGAATCTTTTTATCACTCAAAGCAAGCATTCACAGAGAAATGTTAGCACTAGAGCTACCATAAATCTCAGTGTATTATAAACAGACCAATTCCAAGAATCTAAGCCGTATTTGAATCATATTCCCCAATTTTTGTTTCAAGGAAAAAAAAAACATGGAGACCATCAAGCCATCTTCAAGTACAGAGAATTGTTGTGTGAAAGAAAGGCAGCATTTTGTGGATGAAACATATCTTCAATTTCAAGTATTTTGTTCCAACTTAGATCACTTAATTCTAAAAGAATGGCCACCATGATAGATGCTTTTAAATTTCTGAAGGGCTTTTAAGTGAGAGAATAAACCTATTCTCAGTTATACTTGAGAATAGAGGTAGGTATGGCTATTTTAACAAAGGGCTTTCTAAAAATGAAAAGTATATGAAATGGTCAGGATCCCAAGACAGAGAATGAATGAATCTCTGCCACTAGAACAGTTCACAGGTGGTCTTCCATCATAGGAGGAATATCCAGAAGGGTAGTTGGGCTGGAGAAACTTTGAAATGTCTTCTATCACCAGGATCCAGGGAGACTCAGGCACCCCTCCATGTGCATATCCACCCACACCTGTACATTCCCACACCACACATAAATGCTCCATTCCAAAGTTAGACCTTTCTAATTCTATTTGCCAGAGAATCCAGGAACTAGAAGCTACTTTGTACAATGCTCTGCAGCAAGAAACTGTTATCAAGTTTGGTGAATTATTAAGTGAAAAACAGCAAGAGGAGCTGAGGACGGCAGTAGAAAAGTTACGGCGGCAAATGCTGAGGAAGAGCAGAGAGTATGACTGTCAGATTCTCCAGGAGAGAATGGAACTCTTACAACAAGCCCACCAGGTGAGGACCGAGTCCCTACATCCGTGTAGGCCAGTACTAAGCAAGTGGGACTTAGTATGAAGCACATGGTGTTGAGTATAAGTACGGAGAAGCTCAGGAGATTTTTAGACACTAAAATAAATATTATTTTCTACCATCACTCAATACAGGATGGCAGTTTGTAATAATTCTGTCTTCAGAAAATTGGTATTTCAGAAGCACTGCATACTGCTATCGTTTTAGAATTACTTTGTCATGAAATATCCTTTGAATCTCTTGGAGCAGAAAGAACACTGTCTCTCCAGGGCAGAAATACTGCTTTTCTCCTATTACTTATCCTAGTCCATAACTGAGCCTAAAAAATAATCTAAACAGGGTGAAAAAGAACAGGGCTTCTCTTTATTCCCAGAACAAACAGCAGCAACAACAAAACCTGGAAGCTATCTATACTAACTGACATTTGATGTATGTCAGGAACTAAACCAAAGGATTTACTTAAACCATTTTATTTAATCTTCACAATAGCCCACAAGGTAAGTATTCTTATTATCCCAATTTGGAGACAAAAATCACACAGATAGCAATTTGCCCAAGATCAAACAGAGAGTAAGTAACAGAACTAGGATTACAATCCAGGTCTGCCTGATCCCAAGACTGGTGTGTGTAACCGTTGTTCAGTACTGCACTATGTAGTTTAAATCATCTATGGCTCATATTCATCTAAACCAGCAAGACTTAAAATAGGACCTGGTGTGGTGGTACACACCTGTAATCCCAACAGTGTGGGAGGCAGAGGCTGGACTATCACAAGTTCAAGGCCAGCCCTGGAAATTTTAGCAAGATCCTACCTCAAAGTAAAAAAAAAAAAAAAAAAAAAAAAAAATCAAAAAGGACTGAGGATCTAACTTAGTGGTAAAGTGCCCCTGGGTTCAATCCCCAGACCAATCAATCAATCAATCAATACTCAAAATAGGCATCCTGGACTAATTTCCAACTAAAATTCTTAACTCTAATTCTTCATTCATGTTTTATCTTGACATATGAGGGATAAGGCTCTGGCCAAAAAAGCAGATTCAATAAGAATTCCAGAATTGAAAATGCCAGGCTGTAGTATTCAGTATTGTAACAAGAAACTGGTCTAAAAGCCAGATAGTATATATAGAAACTGAAATCATGTGGCTATCAGTGATGGAGGTAAGTGAAAAAAGAATTGAGATTATAATATGGCACCAATAAGAACAGTTGGGAAATTGAAATTGGCAGTCTTCAGAAGCAGCCAGGATCTTTGCAGGTCTTTAGAAGCTATTTACCCAAGTTAGCAAGGAAGTCTGAAGTACTTTGTCCCAGAGACAAACACATGTGTGGTTCTATTGACTCACTGTCAGAGCCCATCACAAAGGCCTGGATTTTGACCCATGTAAATTCTAAAGCCTTTAATAATGCGACTCTTTGGCACCCTTTGTGTTACTCCATGCATTCATTTTTTTTCTATCAAGGGCAAAAATGACATTTAATTGATTTCAGCAAATTGAGAGTTATGTTTTAGAACCACAGAAATGTTTATTTTTGAATGAACTAGTTGATATCTAAATTTATGATTTTAAAAAAAGACAGTTTTCCCATTTGAGTCTCTCTCCTCAACCAGTTAGCTGAGGTACTTCACTCCTGAAAGAACAGCATTTATTTAATTGACCCAGCCCGAGCTAATAGGCATATTATATTTGTTAGCTTCACAGAGTTCCATTGACATTTTCCATTTCCCCAGCAGTTGTTCATTAGGACATGCCTTTTCCAGTTATTTCTGACTTTTCTTTCCTTTTAAATAGTAGCTTATTTCTGGGAGTTACTTCAGAAAATATTGGTCAGGATTTGTCATATATAATTATGTAATACAGTCTAAATGTGGAGCATATCACTAACCATTTGTTAGACATATCTGCTTAAATGTTTCAGAGTAAATTCAAATATGCATCCTTGTTCTTATAGCCTTCCCTCTTTTCTCCCCATATGCCTCTGCTGGTCAGCAGAATGACTTTATCTCAAATCACCTCTGCTGCAAACATTCTGTCCTTTGCCTCCAACAATTAAAGAACCCCTGCATCCAGCTGGCATTCCCCACCAAATGTTTTTGAGGCTGGTCCATTTTGTTCACACCTGTTATCATAGGCATGTTCAGGACCTTCAGTTACTGCTATAGCTTTCAGATGTTCCAAATGTTTCCTGAAGTAACCCAGTTCTATCATCTCTGCATTGATTCAAACATTTAAATGTATTTCCTAGTGCCAAATACTGTGCATGATAGAGAATTCACCTTAGATCCTGCCTTTACAAAATTTAGGAGACAGTTATGACATTACTTGATAAGTGGCATTTTTAAAAGCACCTGCAGGTGCCACGGGGACCTTGTTATGGGAAGGCTTCCTTCTGTCTTCTTTTCAGTCTACTGTGCATAACACCACAGGTTCTTTTTTGGCTCAGGGATTGAACCCAGGGGCACTTAACCACTGAGCCACCTTCCCAGCCCTTTTTATTTTTTATTGTGACAGGGTCTTACTAATTTTCTTAGGCCTTTGCTAAGTTGCTGAGGCTGACTTTGAACTTGTAATCCTCCTCCTTGGCTCCCTGACCCCACCCCATGCCGTGTCACAGGCATGCACCACCACACCCAGCTCCACCACAGGTTCTTGTTACCTTTCCTCATGGTTCATTCTTGCCCTAAAGTCCCCATGATCTCAATTTTCCATTGATCAAGTCTTGTGCAGATCTCTTCAGGGCCCTTATCAACCAGCTGCCCCTCTCTCCAAAACCTGACTTAAGACTATTTCCAGAGCATATTTTCCACTACTCATGCAATACTTTCTAGTACCATTTGGACCTTGATTTTCCACCTCTAAACCTTTGCGTGATTGTTGACCCCATAATATCCTTCTGTTGTCACTGCATTTAGCCAGTCATTACCATTTTTCCCGTTCCACTTAATCATCCACCTCATTCAGAGTCCTTTTCCTAATGAACAAAATGGACCACACATTGCAGAAGAAAATCTACATTTCATTGCTGGGCACAATGGTGCCCATCTGTAATTCCAGTGACTCGGTAGGCTGAGGCAAGAGAATCACAAGTTTGAGGCCAGTCTGTGCATGTTAGCAAGACGCTGTCTCTAAATAAAAAAATTTAAAAAAAAAAAGGACTGGGGAAGTAACTCAGTGACAGAGTGTCCCTGGGTTCTACCCCCGTTACAAAAAACAAAAAAATTACCGTGTTATACACCTATTCCATATTGGGGCCTGCTGAGCACCAGGTGCTGGGAATATGATGATGAATAAAGACATCAGGGTCACTACTCTCATCTGTCTTACAGCTGGAAAGGGACAAAGCCACACACAAATGAGCAGTGACCAAGGCAATTTCTAAGAGTGGTGATAAGTGCTATGAAGAAGATTGTACAGTGCACATGAATGTGCACAAGAGCGTGGGAGCAGGATGGGCTGCTTTAGACCACTGGTCAGAGCAAGCCTCTCAAAAGATATCTAAAACCCAGGGAAACTGCCACCCCAAGATCTTGACAAAATGTCTCAGGAGATAAGAACAACAAGGGCCAGGTCTCTGGGGTGGGAATCATTTTATAACATTCAAGGAACTGAGAAAAGGCCAGTGTGGCCGGAGCACCCACACAGTCAGGGGACGGTTTATAGGTCAAGTTTGAGAGATAAGAAAAGGCCAGATCCTGTAGGGCCTTGCCAGCGTCTGGGTTTTGTTCTGAGCACAAGGCAGCAAACTTTTTCTTATTCCCTTTCTTCAGTTTCTTAAACTCAGGGGACTGCTTGGGCATTTTCACATTTTCAGAGTTCACGTGGCTGCCGTTGATGGATGAGAGACAGGCAGGAAGGGCTGGTAGTGAGCTCTCACACCATCCCGAGGGGCATGGCAGTGACTAGGTGGTGTACTTGGTAGCAGCAGAGGTAAAAGAAGAAGGTAGAAAAGGGATCTGTTTGGGCCCAAAAAGGTTTCCTGTTGGGTTGGATGGCAACGGAATGAGAACAAAAATAAATGAAGCCTTGGTCAGACAAAGTAGCTCAGTAGTTTCACTTGACCACTATGCAGGGAAGCTCCCCCATGCCAAGCATTGTATCAGGAACTGGAGATTGGTGATGGAGTTATACATCATTTTTGCCACTGTTTACTTTTCTACATAATTTTGCTAATTCCTGTGTTTTAAATTTTGTCTTCCCATCTGGATCTAATAGCTCTTTGAGATCAGGCCTTGTGCCCATCTTCTCCACTAAATCCAGCACAGTCTTAAACATGGCAAGATGTGTCCAGCAAGCACAGAGTTGATGGCTGAACCAGTACTTCAGTAATCTCACATATTCATGATTTTCTCGGTATCATACTTGCCTCCCCACCCAGGATATATGCCAAGGAATTACTTGCATACTCAAGGTGGAAATGTGTAACAAATATCCTCTTTTACTGCATGGCTTTGGAGCATAGCAGCATCATGAGATGAACAGCAGCACACACATCACACATATGCACAAACCAGCAATATTCCAGTCCCATCTCCTTCTCTAGTATTCATTGCCCACATCATTTCAAGACCCCCCTTGATGGTCTCAACTCTAAGCAAAACACACCAGCCCCTCCTGCACAAATCTCAGGGCCTTTCTTGTAGAGCACAGCTTCTCAGTCTCAGCACTACTGACACTTTGGACCAGATAATTCTTTACTCTTTACTGGGGAGGTAGGGCTATCCTATGTATCACATTAGTAGGTTATTTAGAGCCTTCCTGGCCTCTACCTGCAAGATGCTAGTTGTACACACCTTCAATTATGACAATAAAAAATGTCCAGACAGTTAGATAATGGTGATGGTGCATAAAGTCATGAACCACTGAATTATACATGTTAAAATAAGCATACTAGCTTTTTAAAAAACTGTTCAGACGCTCCCAAATGTCCCCCCAGGGTAGGGGAAATAATCAGCCCCACTTGAGAGCTACTGTTTTATAGAGATCTAATTTCCAAGTTCAAGTACCCTTTGCCTTAGCTTCCCTTTTTTCTCCCCACTTGCATTATAAAAACCTCTCTTCATATATTATCACTGCATTTGGCTACCACTGTCATCTTCTTAGGCTTTAGTTCTCTTGTTTCCCAGTTGTTCCAGACAGAGGATGCAGTAATAAGCCTGCACAGTACGCTCGTGTGCATGAACATGTCAGGTTGCCAGGTGTAATCGTGAAGACATTTTTACTTGTAAATAGTTGTGCATGTAATGTTGATATTTAATCTGTGCTATTAAAATAAGAGGGATTTTATTACCTAGTTAACCAGGTAAGTTCAAAGAGTCCCAGAGGTTTTTTTTGTCTTTATGGTTCCTTGTAATATTTTTGCTATGATTTATTTATCTCTCAGTTTATCATTACCTTTCTGAGAACTTATTCTGAAGCATAATCCATGCTTGTTGAGTATTGACCAAACCTGTTTTATAAAAAAATTCCACCCTGAAGCAGTTAAAATAAGGTTGAAAAGAAAGGTTTAATAAAAAAGCAATGGGATTATTTATATTTGGACAAAAGAGCTTTTGCCATTTTCACTGTGCTAACAAACCTCCAAAAATCTCAAGCCAAATGTTTTATAACACACCTTTTTTTTTTTCTTGTTCACTAGTTCTAGAACATATTGCTCGCTCTACAAGGATGTGGTATTCCTGAATATCACACCAACTCACAATGCCCTAGTCAAAACAATTCTCATGGCCAAGCCCAAAGTCAGCTGGTGGGATCTATTCCTCTCCCCTGGGAAGGGATCTGCAAGAATAGGCCAAGTGTAAAGGGCTACAGGTGTGTTAGTCAGCTTCCAGTCACTGTGACAAAATACTTGAGAAAATCAACTTAAAGGAAAAGGTTTATTTTGGCTCATGTTTCAGAGGCTTCAGTTCAATGGTTGGCTCTGGTTTCTTTTGGATGCACTGTGAGTCTGTGCATCACAGTGGGGAGTCTGTGGTGGAACAAATCTGCTCACTTCCTGGCAGCCTGAAAGCAAACAAAGAGAAAGGGGCTAGAGTCCCAAAATCTCCTGTAAGGGCACACCCCCAGTGGCAACTGCCTTGGAGGACATGCCCCCAGTGACTTTCCTTACACTAGTCCCCACCTCCTAAATAGATGTCCCACCACCTCCCAACACTGCCACTGAGGACCACACCTTTGGTGCACTGGCCTCTGGTAAGCAACTGAGACCCAAACCATAACAGTTGAGAAATATTTTTAATATAACCAATGACAATTTTTCACCATAAGCCTGGTGGAAACAATCTTGTACGTACACACACACACACACACACACATACAAAAAAAAAAAAAAAAACTCTGTGATGTTTCTAGCTACAATACAAATGTAAATGTTTTGATCAGAATGGTTTGAATTTTGGTTTGGTTAACATTTTTTTTCTGTATGACTTAACACCTACAAATGTTTTCCTTTTAATTTTTTCCTTTCTTCAGAGAATCCGTGACTTAGAAGATAAAACAGACATTCAGAAAAGACAGATAAAGGACTTAGAAGAAAAGGTATGCGTCAAGTTCAATATCTGTTTTATCCTTTATTTATTTAATGAGAGAGTAGTATTGATTTTGCTCCCCGTGTCCTCTCTCTCTCTCTTCTCAGTTACTGTGGACCTGGCATAGGTAGGTGCAGGTACAGAAAATGTAGGACTCACCTGCAGTTAGGCCCAGGGTTCCAGCAGAGGCTGGGGCACCAGTCACCCACCCTTGACATTTTCGCATTGTGTGTTGGTTGTTATTCTTTTCTGTGTTTTCTGTTTTTGTTTCTTGTTTTCATTTCCTTTCCAAAACTTTCTTCTGAATTTCGTTACTCCACTCTTTCTTTTGAAAATATTTTTAGCACCTTAAAAAAATCTTTCCCATTATTATTCATTAAAAGCCCTTTTATCCTTGTGCTATAGTTTTACTTCAACCGTGAGTTCAGAATCTTAGGCTGACACATGATAACTATGCCTCTTATCACTTTCTCTGAGATCTGAAAAAGAAAATGTTTCTTCCAAGTCAATCAATGTTTGGGGGGAGCAAAACATAGGGATTCTGAAAGAGATCACTTGGAAATGATTGTGTGTTGGGAGGAAGGCTGAGGCTCAGGAAGGGATGCTGTGAGTTTAACAGTCTTGCATAGTCAAACCTGTCCTCCCCAAAATACCAGGAGAGTCCCCCGGAGAAATACAAAAAGGACAGCCCCGAGGTTTTCTCTAGCATCCCAGTCTTACTGAATGGAAGTGGCTACCTAAAACCCTGTATTTAAAAAGCATATGGCTATTTTTCAGCCTGTTCCATGGACACATAAGAGTAAAACAGCAAACCATCAGCCATTCCTGAGATAATTGTCAAGATTTGATTAATCTCAAATTGCTTTTATAGCTATCCTTATTTAGTGAGGTCATGGGGAAGGAGTGGATTGCAGTGGTCAGGCCACCAAGCACCAGATTCTTAAATAGGAGCTACTTCAGGAGCTCTTTTGACCTTGAGTGAATGACCACACTCCTTATGTCTAAGCCATTCCTAGAAAATAGGAATGCCAACATTTCTACTCACTTCTCATGGGTCCCATGAGTAACAAGGTCACATGTGAAAATTAGGAAATACTAAGAAAATTATGTCAGATTTAGAAGTATAATTAAAAAGAAATTTCTACTCCTAAAGTACACATAAAATTTTAAATTCAAATTTCCCGTTCAGAAGTGGTCTGTATAGTTCTGCAAAGGCAGAGGTAAACCAAGAACCATCTCTAATCTCCCAGTGACTGGTAGTAAGACCTACAGAAGGCAGTGTTACTCCCAGCTTCCCTGGGGTCAAAGACACATCTAACATTGTCCATTCATACACTTTCAAGTGGCCAGCCCTTGGCCATGCTTTGCTCATTAATAAACTTGCTGGGTATGGCTCAAGGAGAAATTTGATGTTAAGGCTGTTCTGCCCCCAAAACTTGATGATGCCATTCAGTCCCCATTTAGCTGAGGTTTAGAAAAGTGGGGAGGGAACTATATTTATCAATGTCACCACCTTAGCCCCTCTCTAAATAAACCCTATGCAAATTTGGGGAAAAAATGAATTAAGATTTTGTTCATTGTAAGAACATAATGTGAAAATGTTCCCAACCCTTTTGCTCAATACATTTTACTTTATTTATGAACTTCCTAAACATTCATTAACTTCCTAACAGAAAATAAGGACTGTAGTTATCAAAGCCACATACTGCACATGAGATGGTAAGCTAAGCCACTTCAAAAACATCCCAGTTGTTTCTGATTAGAGAGATGAATGAAAGATGAGATTTATATTGAACCTTCTATTCAGTTGGCCTCACTCTCACACACTCTCCAAAAGGCTAAACAGCATTTATGTCAGAGATACTCTCCATTCTTTCCCTTGGACTTTTTGATCACCTACTGAGAGTACATGGAATCCCTTCTTTGAGGCCCATTGCCATGCACACAGTTCGTATAAATCAGGTGATAGCAGCACACCTTACAAAATTACCTCAACTATGTCCAAAGCATTTCCAAAGTCGTCATCTCATATGATCCTCATAATTACGAGACAGACACAGCAGATGTTCTGGTCCCTTTTTATATAGATAATAAAACAATGGATCAAAGAGATTAATAACTTGCCCAAGATTATGTAACTAATCTATGGGAAATCAAGACTAGAAGTCAGGGTGTGTGACTGACTCCAAGTGCCATGATCTGTCCACCATACTGCAGGGACCAAGAATTTCATCACAGATTAAGTGCAGACATCTGCTTATGACCAAAGAAGTAGCTCTGATGTCAGACCTTCTCATAGTAATTGTGGGAAGCCTGCTGTTTTCTCTCCATCTCTAGCTTTCCCTGCTGTGGGTGTATCTTCCAGAATTTTTTTTTATGGATAAAATTTCTGCTTTTCAAAATTATGGAATAGTCACTAATACATGACCATGAGCACCATATTTATAACTTGATTATACAATTTAGCCACAGTGAATCAAGAACCTTATAAGCAACAAGAGTAAAGGGAATATGCAAATAGTATGTACACTATGAAAAGCCCATATCTGACCCTTAATCAAATATGCTGGAACCAACAGGATATTTCCAGTATGGGATAATTGAGCAAAAGACTTTTGGACTCAGTAATAAGTACATTACCAAGGAAATCAAAATGTTTTAAAACTCACCTAACCTATGACCTTTTATAATTAGCCTACAGTTAGTTGTACTCCAGTGCCACACAGTCTGTGTTTGTTCATCCAATTATTTGCTTTTCTAGTGAAAGTCCTCAGTAAAGAGAGATAAGTCAGACTTTATTTAATAATCGTGAGTCCATTAAGAAATGGTCTATACGAGAGGCACAATAATGGGAACATCACACATTCATTATCTGACATGCCCATTGATGCAGGAGCATATTTCATACCAACAGGAGGTGTATAAACCCACACATACCAGGAATTCCCTATTGCCCCAATGTAATTACTAATAACAGCCCATTTCCCTCTTAGAAGTATTTCACTGTGTATAATTGATCATATGTTTACCCTACATATTAATATTCTCTCTGCTGCACCTTGATTCTAAACCTATCCCATCAACCAGACAATGATAGTTTAATGTGTCGTTACATGTATATTCTGATCATATTTTATGTTTTTGAAATATTCTCCCATACGTAGAAGATAAAGATACTGTAGGACTCGGGATATCTAGGTTCTAGCCTTCACTGTGGCACAAACTCGTGTGAAATTGAACTATTGATTTATTATACTTGTTTTACACATCTATAAAATTGGAGGCTTAGATCAAATATCTAGAAGACCTCATGCAATTCTAAATTATATGAATCAGCATTAAACTCTGGCATTGCTTTGCCAATAGATAAATGAAAGGTGTGAATTTTTGAAACAAAAAGGTACTTGTGCACATGAGAAATGGGAAGACCTGAGCAATGTGGAAATGCTTAGGTTTTGTACTACCTAAATGGCTCTACAGAAATTCAGATTTACATAATCGTCTTCTTTTTCTTCTGCAGTTTCTGTTTCTATTCTTGTTCTTCTCTCTTGCCTTTATTCTATGGCCTTGATGTCAAGGTGCCTCTTAAAGGTAAGATTCCTTTTAATTCTCAAAATGTGGTTTTAAGTGCTATCTGATAAGAACAGTGCTGCAAATAGTTATTCTGCTGGGTTTTTTAAGAACAAATGCCCTTGGTTTGTTTAGCCAAAAAATGAGAAACATATCCAATCCATTTTAGTGACTATTAAAGACATAGAAGGGTTATGAAGTGGGAATTAAGGGTTGTTAGTGGGAATTAAGAATTTTTTCCAGTTATCTATATTACTTTGAGAAGTCACAGTGCCTTTAGATCATGGTGTTCTCATAGCAATCTCCCATTAAATGGAAAGAGTTGCTTCTGTATATATAGGGTGAAGATATAGGACTGTGGTTTTAGTATTTCTTCCAGCTTGAAACTGCAAATTCTGCCAGGCATGGTGATACACACCAGTAATCTCAGCAACTCAGGAGGCTGAGACAGGAGGATGGCAAGTTCAAACCCAGCCTCAGAAACTAAGTGAGGCTCTAGGCAACTCAGCGAGACCCTGTCTCAATTTTTTTTTAAAGGCTGAGAGTGTGGCTAAATGGTTAAGAAGCACCCCTGGGTTCAGTCTCTAGTCTCCAATACCACCCCCAACTCCTGAAAAAAAAAAAAAAAAGGAGAGAGAGAGAGAGAAAGAAAGAACAAAAATGCTGATTTTGAGAATTTAACAATCCAATAATGACTACATATATACATATATATGTATATATGTATGTATATATTATATATGTATATATATGTATTATATATATATTAGTTGTAGAATGACACAGTACCTTTATTTATCTTTATGTGGTGCTGAGGATCAAACCCAGAGCCTCACATATGCTAGGTGAATACTTTATCACTGAGCCATAACCCCAGCCCATGACTACTATTTTTTTAACCCTTTTCTAGTCCTCTTCATGGGACTTCAATGAAATAGACTATTAAGTGACATTAGATCTTGTTTTTAAATAAATTACATTTCAATGTCAATTTAGGAAGAAAAAATGGGACTTGCCATTACCAAGTCCATAACTCATGAACACATGCATGAGTAATCCTAGCCAGTGATTTCCAATGCTTAAAAATAACAGATTCCAAAGCCCTACTGCAGACTCAATGAATCAGGTCACTAAAAATGGAGTTGAGAAAGAGGGTAAAAAGTGGGAAGCAAGGATTGATTTGCATTTAACCAGTGTAACAGGTGATTCTGCTGTCCAGCCAGGTATGGAAGCCATAAATCTTAATACATGGTTAAAAAGGAAGAAATTCTAGCTGCTATTCTAAATCCATTTACCATGGTGCATGTCAGCTTTGATTATCCTAAGAAGTTATTACTATATAAAGATCCTTCCTAGAACCCAGGTCATTTAACATTCTTTTCTAACAAGTTGAAAAATGGAAGAGAGGCCCTTTCTCCCTCCATAAGAATCAATTCTGTTATCTGCTTGTGAAGCAAACAAGGAAGAGGGCTTTATAGCATGGCCTGATACAAGGAGAGTGAAGGATGTCCTCTTATAGCCACCTCTCTGGCTTTATTTCTTCTTCCAAAAGATTGTCTTTTTAGACTGACAACTGTCCTTTGTCTGGTGAGAAGGGTGAGAGTCTTGCAGTACACAAAGAGGAAGTCTGAGTCTTAAAGTGAAAGATAATACCTAAATAGAAAAAGGGGCAAGGTTCTGTAGGAGTGGATGAGTACTAGCTACAAAACCACAAAGTTTCAATATTGATATCAATAATGGCTATGCTGTCATGTGCTAGGAGATGTTCTGAGCATTAGATGCATTTAATTCTTGGTGAGTATTGCTTTTATTCCCATTTTACAGTTGCATGTAACTTTCCCAAGACCATAGAGCAGCAACTGGCAGAACTAGAACTTGTATCCAGATAACTCACTCCAGAGTCTAATTTCAACTTCCAAAGGAGAGGGCATTTATGTTCACATGTGTCAGCAGTCAGAAGCATTGTCTACTGTTTCCTTAGTACAACTTAGCTGTTGGCTTTTGAAATTCTGATGTGCTTATCTCTATATCTCTTTTCTGTTCTGTGTAATTCCTTAAACAATGTGCAAAATTTGATTTGTTTTCTTCCATAGCACATAATTAAAACTCAGTAACTGTTAAATGATGTTATGATGACAAGTAATATAATTATTATAATAAAGTTAATGAATGTGATAATGGATCTGATCTGTTTAAATATATATGCAAGAAAATGGGTCAGTAGTGTAGAGTATAGAGCTTTGAAGTCAATATGTTTGAGTTCTGCCATTGATCAGCTATGTGATGGTAAGCAATTTATCATTAGGTTTTCTCTTCCATAAAGTTATTATGTTGTCTGTAGCATGATGTTGAGAGAACTGAATGAGGTTATGCATATAAAACACTTATCACATTGCCTGACAAAGTTAAAAAATCAACAACTCTCAGCTATTATCGTTAGAAAGCTAGCTATCAAATTTATTGAATTTTCAAATATAAACATTGGAAATAATAATTTCTAGTATTTCCAGGTAGTTTACTGCCTAAATCCAAATACAAAATTGCTTTTTATCACCTCTTTTTTGGTAAATAATCTGGATTTAATTAATGTAAGATAGTATGACTTTATAACTGAAAACTGATTAATCTGATTAATGCTACTTATGTCTCCAAAGCAGGCAAGAAAGAGATAGGAAGAAGTAAAGAAGAAAAGTGCTTGCATTGTTAGCAGGTCATACAAGTATACTGAAAATAACCATAAAATGGTTTTAATGAATATTAATAAATAACAAATTAATAAATAAATTATCCTCTGCTCAGAAACCCAAGACTAACTTATGTATAAATTTATTCCTTCCTTAAAATGAAGTGACCAATACTTCTTTTCTTTTAGCAATTATCTAAGCCATTGTTTTCAGTGATAATATGGAAGCTACTAAAATCTCCCCAGAGGGCACCTGCACTGCTCTTAGTGCCTGAGAACTGAATAACTCAGATGTCTGGATTATATGAAAATTTTTACTTTAAACAGGTCATTCCAGAGGTATCATCTGTCCAAGCATTCTTTTTATTCCAAAGAGCTAGTGTACCATTGTATCAGTCATATTCTTCCAGAAACAAAAAAAAAAAAAATGAATAGAATAGAGTAGGATAAGTGGGCTCTATTAAGGGAGTTGACTCATATAGCTATGGAAGCTAACTCCCATGATGGGTCATCTGCCAGCTGGTGAACTAGAGAAGCCATTTGTGTGGCTCAACACAAGTCAGAAGGCCAGAGAACCAAGAAAGCCAGCGGTATGAATCTCAGTCCAAGGTCGAAGGTCAGAAAGTCCTACAAGTCCTCAAGTGAAAGTTCCCAAATTGGAAAGCTAAGAAATCCAGAGTTCTAATGTCTAATCCATTCACTCCACCTTCATGGCCTCACACCTCTCATAGGCCCACATCCCAACACTATTGCATTGAGAAGTAATGCAACCTCATTGTTGATTTTCCAATGCGTGATTTTTGGGGGGACACACTCAAGACATAGCAATCACTAACTTTTCCATGTTGGACAGTTACACTGGGAGAAAAAGGAAGATAAAAATGAGAGGAGTAGAAAGATAGCTGTCCCTGGGTTAGTCATACCCAGGTTGCAGTAAACCAATGGAGAGAGAACCCACTCTTATGAACAGGAATGGATTAGTGAATAGGACAACACCTGACCAGACAACAGGCGATAGTGTCGTCTTAGCTACACACCCTGACCTAGTTCATTTCTAATGACACTTCTTCAGTGTCAACAACAAATTATTGAATTTATCAGATTAATATTCTTAGTTTGACACATAAAAAACACTTATAACTATCTTAGTCTTCTGATGTTAAAAAAACTTTAAATGCTATATTATAAAAATAGCTGCACTACAGTTAAATGGTTACAAATCACCTTAAAATATGCAAATGTCACTTTTTTTAAACATTTATATTTTTCAATCCCCTTGCACCAAAATTTACACGTGGCCTGAGGAAAACAAACGATCATATGGAATTTCTACTTTATTTGTTGTTTAAAATAGAAGAATTTTGTTCCTTATTGTTTTTTACATTAGTAAAATTTATAAGATGAATCACCATATGCCAGTTAATCATTCCTCTCGTTATGTAAATATATCCATTGGCTTTCATCTGGCCATACTAAAATTATTTCCACGTCTGTCTCAGAAATTGGACTCAATAGACATAGAGAAGGACTTATGCTATATTTGCTTTTGTAATTTCATTAGCTACAACATGCCTGATATATACTATAGGTGGTGCATAAAATTGAAGTTGACAGAATAGAAGATGGATGATTGAGTAAATACCTGGGTAAATGAATTTGAAAGCAGATTTGTGACATGTGAGAACAGAGCCATCAATAGTGTAGTACTGTAATAACAAAATAGCATCATGAACTTGTTCTTTATATATCATTGGGAGACTGACTTAAAGAATTCATAAACAAAGAATATACAACTAGATGCATTCTCCCTCTCTGCCATAGCTGGAATATAGCCTAACTGGGCTCACTGCTTCTCTATTGATACTCCTCACACAGCAGTGAGAGTGAGGTTTTCAAACCCAAATCTAATTTTACACTCATCTGGGGAAAGCCCCAGTGTTAGAATCAAATGCTGGTTCCTTAATATGTGCAGCAGTGGTCTTACTACAGACAGTTTCTCAGGCTTCCTGTTGCTCTGTTTTTCCTTGATGAGCTACACTCCCTCCTGCCTCCAGCAGAAGTTGCTCAAACTGTCTAGTGCACAAATACTTTCCCCTACTTCACCCAGTAAACCTTGCTCACTCATTCTGCTGATCTCAGCTCAGAGATGTCACTCTCGATGGCTGTTCTGGCCAAGTTTTACATACAATTTGGATGGATTCACATATACACATATGTATGTGTACATATATGTATGTATGTGTGTATGTACATATATAAATTTGAAAATATGGATATATAATTTTTAATGTCTCTCTCCCTCATTGTATATAAATGTTTTTTACCCTTGTATCACAAACACTTTGACAGTGCCTAGCACATAGTCAATAATCACTAAATGCTTTTAAAAATAGTAGTAATGATATTATGAAAAAGAAGAAGATATCTTGGTTTATAGTTTTAAATTAATTTAATATCCACTACTTTATTTAATATTCATAACAACCCTGCAAAATAGATTACACTTTACTGTATTGCTCTGTTTGTGCCACAATAACAAAATCCTGAGTTTAGGAAATTAATAAATAATACAAATTTGTTTCTCCCAGTTCTGGAAGCTGGGCAGTCCAAGATGGAAGCATTGGTAAGTTCAAGGTCTGCTGAGGGCCCACTCCGAGCTTCCAGAGTGGCACCCTGTGGCAGTGTTCACATGGTGGAGGGGACAGGAGGACCAAAGGTGCCTGGCTAGCTTCCTCCAGCCTGTTCACAAGGCACTACTACTATCCATGAGAGCATCCATCTCCTAAAGGCCCTGTTGCTTAGGGATTAAGTTTCAACATGGATTTGGAGAGAGCATGAACATTCAAACCATAGTTCTTCCCAACATTAATTTCCTGATATAAAAAAAAAAAATTAGCAGCTGTGGGGTATATAGTTCAGTGATGCAGCAAGTTATTAGCATGCGCAAGGGCCTGGGCTCAAAACCTAGCACACACACACACACACACACACACACACACACACCCTGCCAGATTTAGCAAGTAATAGCATCACTATTTTTCTATACAATGGCCAAGTTTTTAAGACATACCAAACACTCTATCTTGACAAAGCAAAGAATTCACAACTAGATGCATTCTCCCCCTCTGCCACAGCTGGAATAGCCTAACTGGGCTCACTGCTTCTCTCTATTTTTTTTTTTTTTTTAAGAAAGAGAGAGAGAGAGAGAATTTTAATATTTATTTTTTTTTAGTTTTCGGCGGGCACAACATCTTTGTTTGTATGTGGTGCTGAGGATCGAACCCGGTCCGCACGCATGCCAGGCGAGCGCGCTACTGCTTGAGCCACATCCCCAGCCCCTCACTGCTTCTCTATTGATACTCCCCACACAGCAGTGAGGGTGAGGTTTTCAAACCCAAATCTAATTTTACATTTTACAATGTAAAATTTTACAATTTTAATGCCTTTTTTTGCGGGGGGGGGCACTGGGAATTGAACCTAGGGGTGCTTAACCACTGAGCCACATTCCAGTTCATTTTTATATTTTATTTACAGGCAGGATCTTGAGTTGCTTAGGGCCTCGCTAAATTGCTGAGGCTGACTTTGAACTCGCCATCCTCCTGCATCAGCCTCCCAAGCCACTGGGATTTCAGGCATGTGCCACCACGCTGCTTTATCTCATGCCTTTTAAAATGTGCGTTCCATCTACCTAGACCACATTTCCCACACCAACATCAACCACCATCCATTTGTCCTTCCCATCTCGATGGACAATCAGGGTTGCCTCCATCCCCTGGCTTCAATTAGGCTCCATTCAACATTATTATTTGCTTTTCCCAACAAGATTCTCACTGGCCAATTACTTAACAATCCTTAGTGTCAATTTCCTCATCTTTAAATGTAGATAGTGAAAGCAGTTTCCATTTACTGAAAACACTGTACAATATGATAAATTGGATATGAGTGTTGAAGGAGTGAAAAATGTGACGATGGCTCTTAGGTTTTGCAATGTGTGTAGCTGATTTGACGATAGAGCCTTTACACATACTAGAGTCCCAAATCAGAGTGACATGCAGTAGTCATTGACTTAGAGTCTGGTGTCCTGTTGTAAAGTTTCAGAAATCATAGCTGCAATTGCTGTTTCACAGAGAAGGAAAGTACAGCTCAGCACAATTAAGCAACCTGGGTGAAAGAATCCCTATGACCCCTATTGTGAACTGGATAACTGCAGCTATTCAGAAGTTCAGATTTATTCAAATCTGACTTTACTATAAATTTAATAGTTCCTTTCACAGTCTTCCAAATAGTCCTTAGGGTGGAGACTACCTGTCAATGTCAATTTACAGAAATGTAACATTATGGGAGAATTCTTATATGTTCATTGGTTTTTAAAAACAATATGTGTTTGCTCAAATGATAGGTTTTATTTACCTCAATTGTAAAAAGCAGAAATTACCTTTACAAGCTTTGACACAAAATAGGGTATGATCTCTATTGAAATATAAATTGAAAATTTGCAAGTAAAAGCCTTTTGTGTTGTATAGTTTTTATGTATACAGATACACAAACAAACATATATCCCTTAAAGGTCTTTTATATGAATGTTTAGATCAGTTATCTTTTTTTTTTTAACCAGGGAATAAGAGATTATTATATTTGCAATTAGTTGTTTAAGGCTGTCATTACAGTAGTGTGCAAATATGAACTCAGTCTGTTTTCTTAGGTTCTTTCCTATTTCCCTCTCTCTTTCTTTAATTAAATTCCAAGGTGGTTCCCTGCCCTTTCAGTCAAAAGTCTTCCCCAGTTTAAAAATTCAGTCTCAGCCTTTGTTTGGCCTCATTTTCTCCCTTATCCTACCTAAGTTATGAGTTGGGTGCCCTGTGGAGAGTAGGTTCCTGGTTTGCTCTAAGAGGCATGGCTCCACCTTCAAAGTTCTACCCTTTTCCAGGGAAGGAAAGGGAAAGGCATCCTGCCCCTGGACCAATTCACTGACCATGTTAACCAGGTCTTGATGTCTTTCCTCTGAGAGGCAAGAAAGACTGGTCATCCTGGGAGATGTGTGAGTTCTTCAGAAGGAGGCATGCCCCTGCAGTAGTCCCACTATTCCACTGCCATTTGGCTCCCATATTATTTTTGGTACATCCCACAGCTCCCAGCTGGGGAGGCAGTCTTTAGTTGAAGAATGGACTAGAAGATAACTACACTATTTCCTCCATCTTTGCCCTGTCGTCTCTCTCCAGGTCTTGGCTCAAGAGAAACAATTCTGTGTTTGAGCCAAAGAAAGCGAGTCTCTTCTTGCACCCAGCCCAAGTCTCATCATGCCTTTTAACACCTTATGCCCCCTCCCTCAGGGTGGCTATCCCCAGCCACTGCACTTCTTTCCAGGATTCCTTCTCTGTAACTTCAACTCTTTTATCCCAATCTAACCCAGTCTTGGGAGCAGAGTGGCTCTACAAATAAAAATCCCAAATATTTCTGACTTGTCCTACCAGCAGGAATTTCTCTGAATCTTAAATTTGCTAATATATGGTATCCTGAAAGTGTCCTTTGGGTACTAAGTGCCTTCTTTTCCCCCACTTAGGATCTTGATCAACATTTCAGGGACAATAATAAAATCTTTCTACTGATTAGTATCTTCATTTTATAGATGAAGAAATTGAGGTCTAGCAGGCTTATATAACTTGACCTTGGTCAAGCACATGATCGCACATCCTCTGCCATTTCCTGCTTTTATTGGAGGAGAAGCATTAGGTGATATTCTATCCAAGGGAAAACCCAGAGGCATGGACCTAAGGAGGAACAGGGTAAAAGTCTTGATTGGTGTAGCTCCAGAAAAACACCTTTTCAGAGACATCTGGGGGCCACCCGGGAAAACCCTGTGGCAGAATTCCAAGGTAGTCTTCCAAATAGTCCTTAGGGTGGAGACTACCTGTCAATGGCTATAATTATTGGGAGAAAGCATGACATAAAAGCTAGTGGCTGAAGGGCATATAGAGAACTGCTTCTAAAATAACCTTAAATTAATGTCAGGGCCATGATGATACAATTGAGTTTTAAGATACCGCCCTGGAAGACTCCAGAGGACAAGGCAATAAAGATAATAGCTAATATTTCAGGCCACTTACTATGAGACAAGAACCATTAATTACATACATTATTTTGCAACAAACTTTGAAATAAAGACTTTTATTTTCTCATTTAAAATTAAAGTAACTAAGCTTAGAGATGTCATCTAACTTGCACAAAGGCATTTAGCCCAAAGAGATAGTAAAGAAAATATTTTTATCTTTATAAAAACACATTTACACATTTACTTTTTTTTTGGTGGGATGGGTGGGGATGCTGGGAATTAAAACAAACTTGACTTGTGCTAGACTTTGTTTTTTTTTTTTTCTTTCTTATTCAGCCATTAACAAAAACAATGATTAAAGAATTTTTCCTTTGTTTTACAGAATAACCGAAAACAAGGAACAGACCCCAGAAAGGCAAATGCTTCTAAACCTTCAAAGATGGCAAAATTGTTTACACCAGTGCGAAGGAGATCAAAAGCTAAGAAGTACCCTGTAGCCAAGACTGCAACTTGTACTTTAAAGCCATTATTCAAGGTTTCTTACTTGACAGTTCCTACATGACCCTGTTGAAAATCTACAATATATGCTGCATTTAATGAAACATGTATATGTCAAACCAGAAGAAAAGAACTATAAACATATATTGTGTAAAGAAAAAAATCAGCAGTGAAACCAGTTTCAGCAGATCAAGCAAAGATGTGTCTTGGGCATGGAACCAAAGTTACAATGAAACATTCAACCCCTGCTGTGCAGGGGGGGTCATTTTAATGTAACACCACACCCCGTGGAAATACCAGTCCTCAAAATAAACACAATTTTAAAAAATCAAAACAAAACCAACAACAACAAAAAAATAAGGGTGGGTGGGGAATGAAGCACGAGGAATACCTATGAGGAGCTATTTACAATAAAATGTTTCATTTGAAAAGTCTGGTTTCTTACTACAGGGATTTGCTTTTCTTTCTTTATGATTGTTTTAAACTCAGGAACAGAGACATCTGCAGTGTGAAGGGAAGAAAAGCACTCTCCATTTTGATTTTCTGCAAAAGGTGAAGCTGGTGGAATGCATTGACAGATGACAGATGAGAAGTGGATCACAGTGACCCTACCTAAACTGGCAACCAAGTCAAAGGACTCCGGTGAATGTAACATAAGATGTAAATGTGGATTTGATGCTTCTTTATTCTTCTCTCACATCTGCACTCCTTCACCAACAACAGACTGATCTCATTCATATTATGAAGATGATACTCTAAATTGCAAGCTCCCTGACTTAGTTCTGTTTAGAACACCAACATCCATAGGGAACATGGGCCAGAGAGCACCTCTGAATCCTTCTATTTCCATAATTGCTGGTTTTCAGTTTAAAAATTGCCTGCAATGAATATGCTATATGATTTGGGTTAAAACACCATATAGAGGTGATAAGTAAACTTCTACCAACAGTTGGGTTTGCCACCAAAATGTGAATATTAAAATTTCCTGATATACCTAGAGCAATTTGACCTCTTGTCATTTAGAGTGATGACTTTTCTTCCTGGTCAGCTAGCAGCAACAAGATGGCTCTACTTTTCTATATAGAGATAACATTATGTTGCTGATAAGGCCATTTTATACCAGAGACAATTAGAAGACCAGTATTTTTCCTAAGTTATGCATTACTGAGTCTTGGACTCAACTCTGAGAGTAACTACATGTTCCTGAAAAGTTAATTTTACACCTCATTTACTATAGATAACAAGATAACCTCAATTTTTCAAAATGTCAAGGTTTTATTTGTGGGGTTAGAATTCCCACGCATAAAGAATGTGTGTAGGGAGCCAGAAACTCTTTTGACAAAATGCTACACATATCTTTCCATATGTGAGTTCAGCATCTTTATCCTTCAGTTTTAGTGCTAAGCTTTTTAAAGCCAGAACATTAACTGAAGAATCTGCAAGAAAATCTAGAACACTGGGGACCCACTTTTTGTCCTTGTACGTACTGCTGACCCAGATGTCTTTGACCCAGTCACTTAACCTCTCTGTGCCTCAGTTTCCTCATCTGCAAAATGGGGTTGAAATGCTTTTTCATGGAATATTTTATTTGCAATTCTGGAACAAGAGGTGCTTAAAGTAGCACAAAGTGCTTTGTAATTATTATAACTGCTATATTTGACTTGTGTTGTTGAGACAAAGATTCCCCTGTGTAATAAAATAGTGCTTCAGTTTGGTTAAATCTAAGTTTTGCAGCACTGAAGCATTGCCATCAAGCTACCTGAGACATTATTAGCAATAAAGATTGAGAGATCCCAAATCAGGATCTCTAGCCACCTATAGCAAAGAGTCATCTCATGCTATTGAACAGGACAGAAGAGTGTGTCATTTCAATGATAAGCATCTCCCAGCTCTCATGATTGCATCAAATAAAATTTCACTTTGCTCACATGACATCCAATCATGAAAGGCAGGCTTGGAAAGAATTGACAATATCATCCAATAAGCCTGATTATCACTTTCATTTGTGGGGAAGGTCAGATGATATGTCCAACTGGGAATGTACAAGCAGAACTATCCTACTAGATTCCTTGCCGTGTGTGTGTGTGTGTTGTGTGTGTGTGTGTGTGTGTGTGTGTGTGTGTGGTGCTGGGGATTGAATCCGAGGGCTTCCTGCATACCAGTCCAGTGCTTTACCAACTGAGCTTCATGTCCAGGTCATCCTACTGGATTCTTTGATCAACTAGAGAGGTTCTAAATTAAATGTGAACCGCGGGTTCACAATGCAGTAAATGTGAAAGAGGGTACTTCTGTGATGTCTATCACCTAACCTTAGCAAACATCATTCAGAAAATATGGAAGAGGACAAATGGCTATCCTGTATCTCAAACCTTTCTCTTCAATTGCTCTGCTCTTACACTCCAGAGCCTGTCTGAACAAATCCATAGTCCATCTGCTCCACCAAACATACCTTTCTTCTCTTTATTTGGCATTCCCCACCAAGAAAGTTGTGGGTTGAAATTTAAATCCAATAACTATTTTCTAAATGATTAGAAATGTTTGCAAAACTTGTGTGGCTTCCTCATATGTCCTGTCGGCTTGTCTGCTATTAATTGGATTGTATCGTATTTCCAATTATATGAGAGTAACAATGATCACCTGGGAAGCTTTAGATGGGTTTAGGGCAGATGCAAAAGGAGATTTTTTTTTTTTTTTAAAACCCAGAACATCAAGCAAATTTCCCTAGATTGTAAGATAAATGGTGATATTTTTGTTAAGTCATGCTCATGATCTTCAAAATTAACTTATCAGATAAGTCTAAATATTTTTATTAATACATTTCTCTGTTATATATTTCCACAATTATAACAGCATCAGGAAAATTGTATATTCATGTTGCAGTCATTCATGGATCCATAGAAATGAACCAAATCTAAATGCATGGTTCCTCTTTACATTTGAAGTTCAGCAATAGTAAACAGGATGCCTTGTTAATAATAGAGAGGTCTACCATGGTTCCATTTCTTTAGGAAAGAAAAAAAAAGATAATTCCCATTCAGATATTTAATTTTTATATCTGTACTATCCTGACATATCTGGCCAATGAGTTAATAAGAATCTGAACAATCAGGGTTCATTTATTTACTTTGTCTTAAGCAAATATTTGCACCCTCAGGAAAAAACATAAGTATTTAAAATAGTTTGAGATAATTAAAGACTCAATTTAGCACTGTTATTCAGGACAGAAAAATTTCTATGAAAGGGAAGAAATGAAGAGGCAGACTAGGTGACTGCCACATTAGAAAACATGTCACTAAACTGTTCTTTTTTCATTTATTTTTAAATACTACCCAACTTTCAAGTTAGGAGACAATAGAATAAGCTGAGAAAATCATATTTATTTTAACTTATGTCTTGCAAATAAAATTATTGCCAAATTTTATTGCCAAACTTTAGGTTTTAGGGGCAGAAGAATTAATTTCACTTTGATTTTTCTTCAGTCTCTAAATAACTGCTCACACAGGTAGTATGGGTCTTCCAAACTCAGAAGGACAGACATGGAGAGGGCAGGGTCACCACTGGGGTAGAAAAAGGAGTATTGGTTCTCCACTTGTAATTGAAGAAATAAAGTTTGCCAAGGAATTTTTGTTACAGTCTTTTATTTCAAACTATTTGATTTTTTTTCTTTTTTTTTTTTCCCTTTGGTTTTAAATAAACCTCTGGCAAACTTGTTCCTTTCTGCCTATTTCTTTTCCTGTAAATCCATCATGTAATTCGTATGTTCCTGTCTTCAATGTAATTCATAAACTCATTATTTTTAAATGATGCATGTCTATATAACCTATGTGGGTTTTCATGGAAACTGTAAAAAGAATAGTTATTGTTTGTATGTTGATCTTTGAATTATTGGACCATCTGTGTGATTTTACATCAAGATAGATGGACAGTGCAGACATTTCATTTTTAAAATATTTAATTGCATCCTTTTGATCTGTCAGAGTGGTGCAGAATATATACAAATATACACACACACACAATAGAATAAAAATGGCTATGTTGTTTGGGGGTTACATTTCTTATTGTCCTTTGTGAAAATTTCATAACAAAGTTCTGGTAGTTTAATAATAGCTTTTATTAGTTTAATTTGTCACTTTAATAATTTAAATTCATCTACCATATTTAGAAAGCTCAATACAACTTTTGAAAGATCAGTAATCAAAGCAAATTTTAGACTGTTTATGTCTTGAATGAGTGCTTCCAGGATAGACCCAAGTCCCTCTTTAAGTGGACTTCTGTATTCTGGAGGTAAAAACATTAGGTCACAATTCTTAAGAGAGGAAGCTTCCTTTATGTCCAACTGCCTCATTTTTTTTCTGTATAATATTCTGTCTTGAGACTGAATTTCAGGCATACTGGCAAGAGGATTCAGCCCAACAGAAAGTTGGTGTTGATCCTTATAAAGCCTCTTCAACTGCCAAATTCTATGATTCCATTTCAGAACTGGGAAGCTCACATTCTTTGCTGTCTTTAGTTTGACAGTTTTTCCTTCTAAATGTATTGTTGAGAGTCCAAGTTCAATGCTTAATCAAAATTACTGAAGATAGACTTAAAGGGGAAATGTGGCAAAAAATAGGATTATGATTTACTATATTTAACCTAAATCAATTTGGTGAGGTTTCCTGTTCTTGCTTATTTGCACTGAGGTCTTTACACCCGTGCTTATTTTTCCTGCTTTGTTATAGGCAAAGTTCTATAGGGCGGAAGTATCATAGACAGACAAGTTTGAGTCCCATTTTGCCTATAATGAAGACTCCACAAACTTGCTAAAGAGTGAATGATGTGATTTCCCAACAAAAAAACAAATTGAAGTATCCATTAATAATGCAATCACTTATTTTAACAGACATCTCACAAAATGTGCCTATTCCCCAAATTAACCATAGCACCTTCCCACAAGGCAGATCAAAATCTAAGCATTTTATAAATATGTGATGTACATATATGCACATATATATTCTGTACATAGTGTGATGGAGTGAGCACTTACCAGGTGTGTGCTTTTGTTCTAGGATGGAAGAGGCAATTCATGTCTGTTTAGCATCTACTGTCTGTTCATCCGTCCTTGCCTGCCTCTTCTTTCTGCTCCCCCATCTTCTGTTCATTTCTACTATTTCCTATTATTGACTATAACAGAGACTAGTCACTGAATTTTCAATTATCCAGACCCAAAACCAGCAATTCTTTTTTTTTTTTTTTTTTTTTTGGAATAGCAACAAAACACCCAGCACAATATTCAGTATTACTATCAGCCAAAGGTCCCATATCTTTCTCAACTAAAAATCCCATTCCAAGCAGGGTTTATGCATGATTTAATCTTTAATATTCAGTTCTCTGGGGACTCAAGTATTGAGCTAATCTGAAGACATAATTCCTCAGATTTCTATTGAATTAC